AGAGAGAGAGAGAGAGAATAAAAATGTTTTGACAACGCATATTCAATTGGTAAGTATTTCATTGGTAAGATTTTCATATGTGTAAACTGTATATCAACTCGTCTAACTAATTATTTTTTACTTGTACATTTTAATATACGAAACTTTGCAGTTTGAAGCATGCTTACTTTCAGAGATTTAAAAAGATAGTGAAAAACTTTTTAAATTAAAATTCTATTATTTTCACATATTCAGAAAGTTCGGAATAACGATTAATCGTTAAAACTATCGTTAATACTACTATTTAAAATCTATTTTCAATTGAATTATCAACAAGTAATCCAGCAACCCTTATTAAAACTGATTTAATTAATTGCATTAATAAATTTTATTTTATTATTTCATTCAAATTGATTTCATAAATATCAAATAATTTATGTGTATATTATTTGTGTGTGTGTGTGTGTGTGTGTGTGTGCGCGCGTGTCATATTAATTAATTACGAAAATAAAAAATTTGCAATATAGAAATAACAGGAACTCACGGAAAGCTGAGAATCCTTGGAAATGATGTTCGGCCATGGATTGATGGTTCGGTAGAACGTGAAGATGTGATGGTAACGTGGATGGATGTGTGAGCTGCGTTAGATGAAAAGTCTGACCGGCTCCTCTCGGAAAGAATCCGTGCAAGAAAGGCAGTCTCACATCTGTGAGCATTGATTCTTTTTTCGTTTCCTTGTTTTCGAATATTTTATTTTTCACGATATCATTTGGCACTTTTTCGAGGTTCTTGGAGTGTAACACCTTACAAAAATAGAACGCGATAATTTAAATTAAACCCTAACTGATTAAGTTTATTTTTTAAGGGTTTAGTGTTAATCAACTGCAGCTACTTGGATAGATAACGGATAGATAACGTCAAAAGGCAGAAAACACAAAATAATTATAAAAATTCTTATAAAATACATTATAATCGAAATATTTTTCGATAAAATAAGATTCGCATTTGATAGAATAGATTTGTGAAATATAACAGGAAATCTTACTTTTTGCTTCAATAATCAATAAATCAAATAACCATATATTTAAAAAGAAATTATGCCTAATCACAATTCTAGATATATGATTATTTATTGATTACACAAATGAATTTTTGATATATTTTAATTATTTATTCTATTGATTCAAACATCATTTTATTGAAAAATATTTCTATTTTCATGTTTTGTTAGAATTTCCGCATTATATATTTTTGCTTCTAATATAATAATTGGAAATATTTGGCTACGACAAATTGCAGGAGAGAATTTTAATTTTAAGAATCAATTCTTTAAATTCTCTCATAAAACTTTTTAAAAATTAAAAAAAAATTAACTATAGAATAGACATAATAGATATTTATTTCTACAATTTCTAAAAATTTATGTTAAACTAATATTATAATTGTTGACTCTATAATTGTCTATTTATTAGTATAGAGGCTCATTTGCTCACAGGCAACATTTTGTGTGATTCAGATAAATCAGGAAGCGTGTGTGAGGCTTTCTTCGTGATTTCTGGCGAAGAATCCAAACTCTCTCTTGCGTGATCCTCATCCTCATCATTCTCCGTTTTCTTAGTCTCCTCCAAATGGCCATATAGCCGCGCAAAGAAACGTCGTGGCGATGATGGTCTTCTCGTTTTTTTCGTAGACATTTAGTGGGATTATAATCTGTAGATTCGATGGTTTGACATGACATCTTGAAAATTTTTAAATGCAAAATATTTCTTTTTTTTAAATAAAAGCAGGATAATGTAGAAAACTTTTTTCTTCTTAAAGATACAATTTTTTTTTCAAAAAGGAAGGATAAATTTAAAAATTCTTGGAAGAAAAATATTTTTAGCAATTGAAAGATAGATTTTGAAAATTCTATATAAAATATTTACTTTCTGAAATGAAAAAATAAATTTTTAATTCTTAGATATAGGGCACTCTTTAAAAAAAATTAAATATTTTTTTGCAAATTAATTATTAGTTTTAAAGTTACAGAAAATGTTTCAGATAACTACGATTTCCGAAAATTCAATGCTTCCAAAATTTAAACTTTGTAGAAACCAAAATGTAACTTTATCCAAATTTCTTGAATGCAGTATTCTACAGATTTATAAACCCAAATGTCCGACTATCAAAAATTATTGAGTTTGAATCTGCTTATCCTTGCCTGTTTCGTAATTCTTCAATATCCTTATATGTCTTATTGTTTATTATTCTTTTTTATTATTCGATCGAAAAATATATTTTTCACTTGATATTACCATTCCGAATTAACTTCCGGTAAATAATTTCACAAGAATATAATTTCTAACTATTGTAACTGAAGTTATACTACAGGTCTATCTTTCAGATAGAATTCGCAGCGCGAAATCGTTTCAAGACGGCTCGGAAAATGATTTTTGCGAACTTGAGAATATCAGTTTCTACGGGGGTGGCACGCGCGTCCGAATCACCTGGTTGTTCTCCATTCTCTCACCTCGTGCTGACTAGAGCGAAGAACCAAAGTAGGGGAATACTCCCTTCCACAGAGATATCTCTCCACCCTCGGCCACCTTCCCTTTCCCATGCGGCTCTGTACCTCCCCTATGCGAAATCGCACGTGTGGCTGCATTTGTACAGTTGAAAGTTTCGCTTCCTGTGGATGGATAAACACGCAATACCTTTAGGATATACCGATTTTGTCATTACAGTAAAACATGGAAAAATGTCTAAGAATATTGTATAAATAAAGGTTATAAAATTATAATTGATCTAATGAATTACATATACATTTTTTGATCTCATTTAAATTTACACCTTCTCAGTAAAAAGAAGCATCAAGGAATTTTATTTGTCGTAACACGCTTACATATATGCTCACATGCACGCTTAACTTGATATGTACTTATCAATATTAAGTTAATAAATCACATTGTTTTCAAAATACCCGGTTATTACGGTAATTATTTCAATGCATATAAATATTAAAAATTTGTATAAAATAAAATATAAACTTAATATACTTGAGATTATCAATGATAGACTTTATCTCAATGGATTGTTTAATACGTACACAAATTCTCTAATTTTATTATATTCTATAAAATCAAATAATAAATTAATTATTGTATTTATAGAGAAGAATTATTTTCATGAATTTAAAATATAATTTTTAACAAGTCATACAATTTTTTTTATATAAGTAATGAATACCTTTGTAACGCTTTCTAACACATGTATATATTTATAAGAATTCAGAGCAATATTTATAAAACCATAAGCCCTTTTGATTTACAAGATTAAAATTACTTCGAATTTTATATATATATATAGAGAGAGAAAGAAAAAAATATAGCATATATTTTATTTTAATAACTGCAGTACCAATCATGTGTTGCTTTGCGAGGAAATGAAAGGGAATTTTAGTGAATAAGAATGAAAAATGAACGCGCGGTTTAGCGTGAATAGCGAGATTGCTGTGAGTTCATTCTATTCTTAATTTCCTTGTAATGAAACGATGCGTCCTGATGAATCTCGGTTATTTGTTGGTATTCAAATATTTCTTCTTCGATTCTCTCTTTCTTCTCTATATAATCTCTCATTGAAATATTATCCTTTTCATTATTATTTTTAGTACGAATGTTATTTATTCTTTATAGGCAATAAAAAGTATTTGATTAAAAGCAGGAAATTTAAAGAAATTAAATTATAATTAAAAGAAAGATTATAATTTTATTATTAATCAAGTTTATTACTTTTTTTATTTAAATC